ACCATTTGTAAAAGCACAAGTTGTGTACTGTGGAAAGACCCTAAACTTCGGCTTCAGATATTTTGTGTTTTATCCTACCCTGCTACTTCCTAGCTTTGTGACCTTGAGTGAGTTACTTATCTGAGCTTCAACTTCCTCATCTAGAAAACGGGGCAACAATTCTTAAAGGCTTATTAAGTAGGTTTTTTTAAAAAGAAAACATGGGAAATGCTTAGCATGATTCCTGGCTTGATAAATCTGAGCTCTCTTTTCCTCTTAAAACATTCGGCTGCTAACCAAAAGTTGTTGGTTTGAACTCACCAGCCACTCCATGGGAGAAAGATGAGGCAGTCTGTTCTATAAAGATTTATAGCCTTGGAAACCCTATGGGGCAGTTCTGCTCTGTCCTATAGGATTGTTCTGAGTTGGAATCAACTTGATGGCAGTGGCTTTGGTTTTTTGTTTTCCTTTCCTCTAGCTCACCCTTACCATGGAAGGAATCTAAGCCTATGAAAAATCCTGCTGACCTTAAGTTTCTGGTAGGGCCACTGGGGGAGAGCCTCAGTACAAAGCCTCTTGGTCCTTGGGTCCTCTCTTACATGCACCTGTCTCTGTTTCATCTCTCTTCCTCTCCCCACCCCCTGTGGCTGTTCTTCTGGTGGGGCTATGGGGCGGGTGCGGCGATGGACCGGGCGGGCACAGAACAGGTGGGTGCAGGCTGGGTGTCGGACGCTGGGACACAAGTGCTCTGTGTGTAGGGTGGGCGGAAGTCAGGGCGTTTGATCTGAATTCTAAAGGGCGTTGTTCAGTGTCCCACAAAGGTCCCATTGTGCCGACACTGGGTATAAAGCAGCATATGACTCCCATGCATCGGGTGGTGATGAATTGGAACGCAGGCGCGGACCCAGGGACCACTCCCCCTGCACAGACATGAGACCATAGGGGACCTGTTTGGGTGGCCTCAGGATAGGTGCTCCCCAAGGTAACAGGAATTTGTTGAGTTTGCCCCAGGTCCAGAGCTAAAGAGCTGGGAGATGAGGAGCAGGACAGGATGGCTGATGGGAGAACACGGTGGGTCTGGCAAAGAGAGGGGCTGGAGAAGAAAGAATATTGGAGGAACATGAAGAAGGGGGATGGGGCCCAGGAAGGTCAAGACGAGTGAGGAGAAGAGGCTGGCAAAGGGGATAAAATGAAGAAGAAAGATATGGCTAATCCTGCTTTCTTTCCTGCCACTGACTTTTGGAAGAGGTTGAGGCTGGGGTTGGGGTGGCACTGGCTGGCAGTGTTATGGTCCTGAGCTTTCTGTTTCAGATCTCTGACAGGTTGCTTTGTGGCTCATGTTTTGCAGGTGTGAATGAGGCAGGATGAACTGGACAGGTTTGTACACCTTGCTCAGTGGTGTGAACCGGCATTCTACTGCCATTGGCCGAATATGGCTCTCCGTCATCTTCATCTTCAGAATCATGGTGCTGGTGGTGGCTGCAGAGAGTGTGTGGGGTGACGAGAAGTCTTCCTTCATCTGCAACACCCTACAGCCTGGCTGTAACAGCGTCTGCTATGACCACTTTTTCCCCATTTCCCATGTGCGTCTGTGGTCACTGCAGCTCATCTTGGTTTCCACCCCAGCTCTCCTTGTGGCCATGCATGTGGCTCACCAGCAGCATATAGAGAAGAAAATTCTGCGGCTTGAGGGCCATGGGGACCCCCTACACCTGGAGGAGGTGAAGAGGCACAAGGTCCACATCTCAGGGACACTGTGGTGGACCTATGTCATCAGCATAGTATTCCGGCTGCTGTTCGAGGCTGTCTTCATGTATGTCTTTTATCTGCTTTACCCTGGCTATGCCATGGTACGATTGGTCAAGTGTGAGGCCTATCCTTGCCCCAACACAGTGGACTGCTTCGTGTCCCGCCCCACGGAGAAAACCGTCTTCACTGTCTTTATGTTAGCTGCCTCGGGCATCTGCATCATACTCAACATGGCTGAGGTGGTGTACCTCATCATCCGGGCCTGTGCCCGCCGAGCACAGCGCCGCTCCAATCCACCCTCCCGCAAGGGCTCGGGCTTTGGCCACCGCCTCTCACCTGAATACAAGCAGAATGAGATCAACAAGCTGCTGAGTGAGCAGGATGGCTCCCTGAAAGACATACTGCGCCGTAGCCCAGGCACTGGTGCCGGGCTGACTGAGAAGAGCGACCGCTGCTCAGCCTGCTGATGGCACATACCAGGCAACCTCCCATCCCACCCCCACCTATTCCTGGTCCTGCTCCTCCTTCTCCCTTCTGCTGCACAGACACCTGCTAGGGGTCACTTTAGGGATCATTCTATCAAAACCTTCCCTCCCTCCCACTTGTCTTCCTCCCAAGGCCTTCTGTCTGAGGGATTGGAGGGATGGGGATCTAAATGCCACAGAAACCAGTGCTCCAGGTTAAGGGGGGAGGATGTGGGCAACTCTTGCTGCCTGTATCCCTTCCTCTTCCCTCTTCTTTCCCTGGGACCACTGGGGACAAGAGATGAGATGCTCTGACAGCATCTCCAATTATGAGACTAATCTTAACCCTGTGCTGTCAGATACACTATAGAGTCACTTCAGTGGGAAGGGACGTGGGCAAGTGAAGCAAAGGAAGGGGTGCTGTGGACTTGTGGGAGGAGAAGGGAACGTAGCAAGAACAACAACAACAAAACCCTTTGCTTGCCAAAGGGCACATCTGGGGTGGGGGAGTTAGAGAGGGAGAAGCAGGCAGAAAAATTGGAGCAGGAGATTGGTCAGGGCTGCCTTTACCTTGAGTTCCCAAGGCCTCTCTCTGCCTGAAATGTTACACATTAAACAGGATTTTACAGTAAATGAGGAGGTGGCTTGTGTGTTTGTCAAGTTCTTTCTCCTGTAACTTCTGACCATCCCTGAATACGCTGGCCTTGGCTTTCTGTAGATCAAGAAAGGAATAGGGCAAAAGAAACAGTGATGTGAGGAGCTGAAGCTGCAAAATGAGGGACCCCTGCACTCCTGGCCCAGCAAAACCAGACCCTGAGCCATTCTCTCCTCTGATGTGTTGTTCTGTTTTGTTTTTAATCTTTTATAAATAACAGCTTTATTGAGATATAATTCACATATCTCCCTCCTCTGATTTTAAAGAGATTAAAAGAACAACTCCCTTTGGAGAGAGAGGAAATGATAGAGAAATATCTCAAGTCCAAGAGAGACTTGTATACATTCCCTCAGCACCTTGTTGAGTGCTCTCTCCCCCACACTCTTGTATTTCCTTACTCTCTAAAAACTCAGCATTTCCTGCAAAGTAATGTCCTGCAATCCACCTGTGGAATTGTACAATGACTCTAACTCTTCTCCTCTGAACATAGCCCCTGATTCTATCTTCCCAATTTCCTTCCCTTAGAAATCAATACCCTCCACCCCAGAGATGCCTCCACCACAGGTCAAAAATTCACAACAGCAGTTTCCTGCTAGTATCACTCTTCAAAATGAGAAGTAGCCTGAATGTCTTTTTAAAAATTAAAAAAAATGAGAATTAGCTTCCCTTCTCTGGGAAACACCTCAGGCTAGGACTTGACAAAGCTTGGTCCAAGTCCTGGATCTGTCACTTATTAGCAAGGCATTCTCTTCCTCAAAACTCAGTTTCTTTGTGAGCAAACCTGGATTGGCTTAGCACATCTCTAAGCTCCCTTTAATACTGTGCTTCTGGGATTCCTAAAGATTTCCTCAGCCTCACAGATGTTTCTCCATCTTATAGTTACTGTCCTCACAAACAGCCCCTCACAGTAAAAGTTTCCTCCAAGGCAAGTTTCCCTTCTCAGCTTCCCAACCTCCCAAGCAGGAAAAATTATGTGCCACTCCCTCTCAGAGTATGCTAATTCTATGTAGGAAGAATAGCAGAAAGGAAGAGACTCAGTCATAATCTCATCAGAATTTTTCTCCCTCCTGAAACCATTTTTTTTTTCCAGAAATCATGGAAGGTTTCCTCATTCAAGGATGTGTCTATCTCCTTTAGAAAAAGAAGGAGGGAGTTAAGTATTCCTTTCCCTCACACTCCACAACCTCTGAGAGAGAAAGCTTTCCCCCCTCTTTAAAAGAGAAACATCCCTTTACTGCAAGAGATTTCCTTTCTCCTTAAAAACTGACATCATACTCTTGTCAGAGGAGAGGTCTCCACCCTCCTCAGGGTGGGAGAGGTTTATTTTCATATTGAAATACATCACCTCCTCCTACAACACAATACAATGCAGCACAATACAATAAACAGAGTGTATACCCTCTCAGTTCAAATGGCCATCAAGAGAATGATTTTCTCTTTAAAAGTCCATCCTAGTCCATGAAGGAGCTTCATGCCCTCTCCACGCTGTGAAATGCTAAATCCATCATCTCCTCAGAAATCTGGTTTCTTTTCAAAGGATTCTATCAGTTCCCCTTGGAAAGAAGCTCCAACTCCAGATCAAGCCTTTCCTCTTCAGGGCTGGGTGTTACTGCAAATAGAGGACATATTATTCTTGTGTCCGGTGACCCAGATAGGAGGAGGCCACAGGAACCTTGAGAGAAGTTGGTGTATACACTGTTTCAGGGAGGTAGGAGGGAGGGTCAGGCTAACCCCTAGGACTGAATTTTTTATTTAAGGGTCTGCCAGAAGACTGTGTGAGAATGAGAGACAGGGAGAGAAGGAAGCTTAGTACCTACCACAGATGTGCTAAGTAACTGGGATAGTAAAGAGGGAATTCTAATTAGGAAACCTGGTTCTCCATTTACTAGCTGTATCCCTTTGGACACAGCAGTATACTTATCCTATCCAGGTCTCAGTTTCCTTATTTGTTATACAGGGTTAATAACAACCTTCCTACCTCTTTCATAGAGCTTTTGTGAGAATCAAACAAGATGTGTTCAAAAGCTGTTTATAAACTGTAAAAGGAGGTAAGATGGTATCAAAAGCGTTCCTTAAGGAATGCTAGGTACTTTAGATAAGCCAGACAGGAGTAAGGCTGGTTCAGCTAGGCTGCAGCTAGTATAGAGAAACTTGGCAATAGGGTTGCCACCCCACCCCCGACAGTGGACAGTAGTCCAAACAGCAAAGTCCAAGAGATGTTGCAAACTTGAGCATGACCCTTTTAGGGGTCAGTATTTAAGGAGTTTGATCTGGGAGCAGAATAGACCTTACAGGTTATTGCACACTGTCACTCATAGTATCTGTGTGTTTTAGAGACATCTATGGTCTTTGAAAGAAGCCCTGGTGGTGCAACAGTTAAGCACACCTGGCTGCTAACTGAAAGGTTGGCAGTTTGAACCCACACAGCAGCTACGTGGGAGAATGACCTG